CTAGAGCTTTATTTTTCTACTCCTAACATCTACCAGAATTGAGACAGTTCAATGTTTTTTAGGAGTTTTAACATATACTAGTTAACACTTTTTATCATTTTAAAACTTTTGTTTTTCTTTACCTGATATTAATATTACCAATGTAATCAATTATATGATGTCCCAATAAAGCTAAACAAAATGAAACAAAACAAAAACTCATTCCCTCAGTAGCATTTGACTTAAAGCAGTATACTCACACACTTGTGGGGTCAGGTGGGAATTGGTTAGGCAACCCTGCTCTTCCTGATTGGGTTCACTTGCATGGTTTGCTTTTGACTGGCTGTCAGTCTGTTGGAGTGACTAGTACAACCGGCAGCTTGGCTTTTTTGCTCCTCTCTCCCCTCTTCTATCAGGCCAGACCAAGGATATTTTCATGGTGATGGCAGAAGTATGAGAGGCCAGCCCCCCAATATGCAAGCCCATTTCAAGCCTCTGCTTGCATTATATCTACCAGGGTCCTATTTTCCATGGCAGGCTGTATGTTTGTGCCCATATCAAGAAGTGAGGCAAGTCACCCATTTATGATGGTAGAAGAATGACTCAAAGTTACAAGGCAAATGGCATGGATTCAAGAAAGGGTGATGAATTTGAGCCACACTTATAATCGAGTACACCAACCAGCTTTCCTTTTATTTTGTGTAGAATATACCTCCTATTTCTTTAAAATTTCCTGTGTGCTTCTTTTAAATAACATATAGCTAAGTGTCACTTAGAAGAATTATTTAAATTCTAGTTAGTTAACATACAGTGCAATATTGGTTTCAGGAGTAATTTTAGTGATTAATCACTTACAACAACCAGTGCTAATTTTTTTAATGAAAGCTGAGATTCTTTGCTTTTTAAATGGGCAATTTTTATAGTTACATAACTTTATATATCATATATATTTTTTCTCCAATGTAATTGTATCCTTTTGTTTCATGTTTTCTACTTTCTATATTTATTTTTTCAATTTCTTATCTTTTGTATGTATACACTATTTGCTATTTTTTTTTTTTTAGTGTGTACAAAGTTATGTGTACTGTTTTATATAGTACGGTGGTTAACATTTAAGGTTTTCAGTATCTTTTTAAAGCCACACTTATCTATTTATTAAAATTTAAAAAGCTGACATCTTTTGAATCCTCCAGTTAAGGAATTTTTGTACCACACTTACTTTCTCTATACTCCTTTTTTTTTTTTAAAGATTTTATTTATTTATTTGAGACAGAGAGAATGAGAGAGAGAGAGCACATGAGAGGGGGGAGGGTCAGAGGGAGAAGCAGGCTCCCTGCCGAGCAGGGAGCCCGATGCGGGACTCGATCCAGGGACTCCAGGATCATGACCTGAGCCGAAAGCAGTCGCTTAACCAACTGAGCCACCCAGGCGCCCTCTCTATACTCCTTTTAACCTATATTCCCATCTTATTAGTATATTGACTTACACTAATATTTAAATATTCTTAGCAAACATTTGAATAAGAATGCCTTTTGATATTGCATGTATGTTTCACTCAGTTTTATAATATATACACTTATATTGGTGTTTTACCTATTTCCTTGCAAACTTTATATCTGCTTATACTATGAGTTTCTGTGGATCTTGTCTTCAATAAATCTAGCATTTATTTAACAGCAATGATGTTAGGAACTGTACTATGTTATTTATGAGTGGTGTACTTTAGGGAGGATATAAAATCATTAGGCTACAAACTTTTTCACTTATAACTTTCATTCATCAAACTTTTATCTTGTCTAATGTATTGTTTTGGAAGACAAATCTGAAGTCATCATGACTTCATTCCTCTATTTTAACATGGATTTTCTGCCTTGATGTTTTTAGGATATTTTTCCCTTTCATCAAAACCCAAACTAGTTTCTAGGAAGCCTCTTGGTGAGTCTGATTAACTGATTTTCTCTATATTGTGATGGTATGCAATTATTTCCTTAGTGATTGTAACTGCAACCCTCTCCCTCTCTAATTCCTTCCCACTCCGAGGGAGCAGTGATGATTTTTTAACTTGAATCATCATTTCCTGTCCCATATCTGTGTTTCCCTTCATAATTGAAATCTTCCTTCCTTCATTTCTTACTGCCAGGTTAGCATTCCATGTTTTAGCACATGCAATGTGAATTTTTATTCTGCAATTGCATTTTTTCTTTTCTTGAATTTTAGTATCTCATTATTCCACTTTTAATTTTATGCTATTTTTTTTTACCTCAACAAATTTTCTCTTAGTGTCCTCCTATTTTTGAGACACGATTTTTCTTGTATTGTAATGAGAGTGCTATTGAATTTTCTGCAATTACTTCTACATCTGGCAATAGATAATAGTTTGCTGTGTTGATTGTTTCAGGTGATTTCTGTCCCTTACTTTATCAGAGGGATCCTACTTTTTATTCCTCATTACTCATCCCAGGGCCAGGTAAAATCTACCTTGGCTTGGAGTGGACTGGCAGTTTAGATATATTGATTGCATTTGGCCTTCTCAGAGTTTCAGCTGATGGAAACAGTTCAGATTGTGGAAAGATGGTTGTACACAATTCCCTATGCAATTTGTATAGTGTGATGTTGCACTGTGGTTTGATTTATTTCTCCTCTCCACTTCCTCATTCTCTAGTACTTAGGACAAATGAAGTTTGTTTCAAAGTTTTCACTTGCCTAAGTATCTCTCACCTGTTATCCTGGGAATTAATTGTGCTTCTCCTTCACTTGTTTCTCCTTCACTGCCTTCCTCCTTTATCTTCTGAATAATTGTGACAATATTACATATATATACTTTCCAAATTAAAAGGTAGATTGTAATTTGTGCATATTATTATGGATTTATCAAATGTACATTATATGTCTGTGGTTTTAAATATGTGTATACAAAACATATATTTATATTTATTAAATATATTTGTAGTTTACTTAATCATATCATTGTTTCTGGGCATTTAAATCACTTCTATTTCTCCAATACTAAAGTAATATATATTAGTTCATTTTTATGTTTAAATGACTATTTTCTTGGGATAAATTCTTAGAAGTAGAATTACTGGCATGAACTATATTAACAATTTTGTGAATTTTTGATATAAATTGACATATCATTTCCCCAAATCTTTTAATAAGTTAAACTTCCAGAAATAATACAAGCATATGCTCATAAAAAATTAGGATCATATGCTTATTTTGAAAGAAATTACACTTTTGAGACTCTATGAAAAAGAAAATTAAAAAGCAGCCTTTGTTTCACTGCCTAGGTATGACTATTGCTATTGATTTGGCTTAGTTATTTCATTCTGCCCTACTCCTTTCTAGGATAGATGAATGGATAGATAGGAAGGTAGATAGATAGGCAGACACATAGGATGTGCACATCAGTGAAAATACTATCTGGTGATATTTAAGGTGTTTTAAGTTTTTGTGCAATTATGCATAACCCAGTTATTAATGTCTTTACGTTTAATACAAATTATTTATTTCATTAATATAAATCCTAGGAAGAAAATAAGGAAGAACACATATTTTAGGATTCTGTGTACCATCTAATTTCAATTTTTTTTTTTTAAAGATCTTATTTATTTATTTGACAGAGAGAGCGAGAGAGCACAAGCAGGGGGAGCAGGAGAAGGAGAGGGAGAAGAAGGCTCCCTGCTCAGGGAGCCTGATGAGGGGCTCAATCCCAGGACCCTGGGATCATGACCTGAGCCGAAGGCAGACGCTTAACCATCTGAGCCACCCAGTCACCCCTATAATTTCAATTTCAAAAGGATGTTGTATCAACTTATGCTCTCAGCATCCATGTATATGAATATTTGTTAAATATACCTTCAGAAGTATTAAGTATTAAAATGATTTTTTTTTGTTTAATTTGATAGGAAGAAAATGATACCTTATTGTTTTGATTTGTATTTATTTGATCACTAGTTAGGTTAAATATATTTTCTTTTTTTTTTTTTAAAGATTTATTTATTTATTTGAGAGAGCGAGAATGAGAGAGAGTACATGAGAGGGGGGAGGGTCAGAGGGAGAAGCAGGCTCCTCGCTGAGCAGGGAGCCCGATGCGGGACTCGATCCCGGGACTCCAGGATCATGACCTGAGCCGAAGGCAGTCGCTTAACCAACTGAACCACCCAGGCGCCCAAATATATTTTCTTGAATGATTATTATCCATATATATTATTCTGCAGAACTTCTGTTAAAGCTCAGAATCAATTTATTTACTTTTATTGGTGTGCATAATACTTTCTTCACTAACAATATATTTTTTAAAGATTGTATTTATTTGAGAGTGAAAAAAAGGGAGAGAGAGATAGAGAGAGCATGAGCATGAATGGGGGAGTGGGAGAGGAGTAGAGGGAGAGGGAGAAGCAGACTCCCCGCCCAGCAGGGATCCTGATGTAAGGCTGGATCCCTGGACCCTGATATGATCTGAGCTGAAGGCAGATGCTTAACTGACTGAGCCACCCAGGCGTCCCTTTACTAACAATATTAATGATTTTAAGTGACACCATTGCTATTTTGTACAGATAAAAAATAATTTTTAACTTTTAACCAATCGCATTTCTTTCTATATTTTATTTAAAAATTTTGGATGCTTCTTGTTCAAAGGGTCTTTTTACATAATCAACACATTAAACATTGTAGTTGCTCAGAGTATTATGTTGAAATACTGATGAAATAGGGGGGCCTGGGTGGCTCAGATGGTTGGGCATCTGTGTTCAGCTCAGGTCGTGATCTCGGGGTCCTGGAATCGAGTCCCAGATCCAGCTCCTTGTTTGGCGGGGAGACTGCTTCTCCCTCTGCCTCCCGCTCCCCCTGCTTGTACTCTCCCTCTGGCAAGTAAATAAATAAAATCTTTTAAAAAAAGAAATACTGATGAAATAAAACCTTCCCTCCAAGTTCAAATCTGTTCTTTGTAATAGCGATAGGAATTGTATCAAATACTATCCCAGTACTCAGTTTGACGGACTTTTTTTTTCTTATTTCAGAGAATAAAAGATCATGCCTTGAATTCTCTCATCTAAGTATAAAGGATTCCTTCAAAGATTTGTTTGTTCCCCAAATGGAGATTTCCTTGATGTTGTATACAAGGAAAAATCTCAACTGTGCTGAGCCACTGTTTGAGCAGCATAACTCACTTAATGTTAATTTCAGTATAAGCAAGAAAACAGTCTGGCTTATTCATGGATACAGACCAACGGGCTCCTCTCCCACATGGCTTCAGAACTTCCTAAGGATTTTGTTGAATCAAGAGGATATAAACATAATTGTAGTAGACTGGAACCGGGGTGCTACAACTTTTCTTTACAACAGAGCAGTTAAAAACACCAGAAAAGTTGCTGTGAGTTTGAGTGGGTACATTCGGAATCTTTTGGTAAGAATTTTATATATTATATATGTTTTACAATATACAGTGTTTTATGCAATACCACAAAGTGGTAGCAAGATAAATACTTTTTTCCTATACACATTAAGAATTATTGCTTTGAGGGGCGCCTGGGTGGCTCAGTTGGTTGGGCAACTGTCTTTGGCTCAGGTTATGATCCTGGAGTCCCAGGATCCAGTCCACATCGGGCTCCCTGCTCAGCGGGGAGTCTGTTCCTCCCTCTGACCTCCCCCCTCTCATGTGCTCTCTCTCTCTCAAATAAATAAATAAATACAATCTTTAAAAAAAGAATTATTCTTTGATATGCTAACATATACAGCCATCTTTAACTTGTGTAAATGGATAAATTCCATACCTAGTTATGAACGGTCTTATTTTTTAAAAAAAATATCTTAAAGACTCAGTTATTATGTTTTATCTTAAAATCTTTTAAGATTTTAATTTTTTTTTTTTTAACTCTACCTATACTGACTTGATGTTAGGGTAGTAATTCCATGTGGACCAAGGGGATAAACTATATAATCATTAGGTTCTTTAGACATCTTTCCTAAGGTATGGCTAATATATTTATAGTTCATCAAGTGTGAATTGGTAAAAGTGAGGGAAAAACATCTTGAAAAGTAGCATACTTCTGGCCAACTTTGGAGGCAAGTCTTCAGATTTTGTCCAGGATTTAGGTGCAGGGTTGCAGTGTGTCAGTAACATTCAGGCCAGTTTTAGGTCATCTGCAGTTTGAATGATCTACATTTACTATGTCAACCCATATGGAGATCAGTGTCTGTTCTAGAGAGAGATGTGGTGGTGATGAGCACTTGAGAGAAAGAAGGGTGATTTCTGATTTGGAACATTCTTGAGCTTGACATCTGCTTTGAGTTGTGTTGTCCTGAATTTCCAAGGCTCTCCTGAAATTGAGCAAGCTTACCAGATCCAAGAAGCAGTTTACATGTAGTCATTAGGAGTCAGACTGGAAGAGTTCAAAGACCAAATCTATCTCTTATCTTCTGTGTGACTTTAAGCAATTGCTTAATCTCTCTGCCTCATTTACTTAGCTATATACTGGGAATAATGAAACTTTATAACAATATTTTATATAAGTATTAAATGAAATTAATTCTTACCCAGTACCTGGCATATAATAATCATTGAATATAATCAGGATCAGTATAATTATTACATCCCCAAATTTGGACAAAACCAAACTGTCTCTCTAGAGAGACAGTGGAAGTAATTCATCTGTTCTTATAGTCTATAAACTACATAATTGATTTTTGCTTACAGCAGTGGTTTTTTCTCTAATAACATGTACTTCAAAGTGTGGGAAATACGAATGTAAAATATAGAAATTTAGGAAAAGGCTTTATATTTAGGAAAAAGGATGAAAAGCTCAGTAACACTAAAGTTGAGAGTGATACTCCCTCGGGTTTCTGGGCATTGCTCTGAGGAATTTGAAGAAAATTAACACCCTGTGGCTGGAAAGCCTGGATTTAGTTTCTCATTGGCAGTAAATGTCCCACATCTTTCTACAAGCCTCTAAGATGTGTTCAGTATTTCAGCTTGGAAGATTGGATTCCATGACTCTCCAGCTTGTGATTCAGGAATCCATGATCACACTTCAAATCCATGAGTCTCATTTTAACATCTCTGAAATGAGCATCCTCATTTCACACTGTTTCAGTCTTCCTAGTGATTTTGACACAATCTGTTCAGAAAAAAACAAGGAGGCAGATTAGTATATATTTTGGAGTTAAACAGGTCTGGACTTGAAGTCCATCTTTTTCCCTTACAGTAATAATTATATGTGGCTTTGGGCAACTTTTTATCAAACCATGTTATTCAACATTTAATAAGTGCCAGGAATAGTTTGAAACAATAGGATAAAAATAAATATCTCATAGGACTAATGTGAATATTAAATGTGAGATTTACAAAACACTTATTCAAGGTAAGTACCCTATAATGTCTACTACTATTATTACAAAATTCTTTAACTAAATGTATTATTTTGCATATACTAGTTTAGATAACAGATAACAAAGGTTTTTAAAAATGTACTGGTATTACTAAAAATGTATAGAGAAAAATCAGATGTCTTATGGAAAATGTTGAACAAAGATATTGTTGTTTTCAAATTATAAAATCCTATCCTCCATCTCCCAGAAATGTATTAAACTAGAAAAAAAATAAATTCTAGAATATTGATGCACAGGGCATAATTTGCGATTTCTGAAATGAAAATCATAACATTGCATTTTCACTTGCAGAAGCATGGAGCATCTCTTGGTAATTTTCATTTCATAGGTATGAGCTTAGGGGCTCATATTAGTGGATTTGTTGGAAAGATATTTCAAGGTCAACTTGGAAGAATAACAGGTAAAATATTTTTGATAAAATGTGTTTTAGCATTCTTTAAGGCATCAGAAGTTGTTTTATTTAAAAGTTATCCGGCACAATAATTAAGCAGTAGAAATGATGCACATTTATTTTTTTTCTGTATTATATTCAAATGCTAGTCTTTGTTTTAGTTAGATTCTAAAGTCTTGTTTCTTGTTTAGTTCTTAACAGAGATGAGATACTCCTATAAAAATGGGAAGAAGAAGATCAATTTCTGCAACCCCATGTGAATTTTAAGGACACATTATTCTAACAATCCAGAGGAAAATATGACCCATTAAATATAAAACTTTTTTCATGTATTAACTAAATATATAACCATGTACTTAATTTTCACAAACTTTGACACATTTCAATTCTTTTAAGAATTTTATTTGAACACCAGAAGAGAGAATCAGGAGTTGATACCCAAGCTTGAAGGAGTCTAGATCCTGATACCCCTCATATTTTTTTTTTTTTTAACAGAGTTCCTGCATCCAGAAAGCTTAGTAACCAAATAATGCTGACATAGATTTTCATGCTTCCACTTGGGAATGGTGGTGATTTTAGAATAGAAAGATTGTATCCCTCCCCAATCAATTCAGCTTTTTAACAACTATTGAGATCTGTGTCCATAGAATATTTATAATGATTTCAAGTGTTAATAAAAGTAATAGAGTGTTAAGTTAAGCAAAGGGGGAGGGGAGAGGTGAATGAATTGCATAGATAGGATCTTTACAACCTTAAGTATACCTTACTTACTTATTCTGATCGGTTTTAATGTTATTCCCCATTATATAGATGTGAAAACAGGTTAACTGAATGAATGTAGGGGGAGGGGGTCAAAAAGTTTTTAATAGCTAAGCCAGGATTTATACAAAACTTTCTAGCACCCAAAGTCCATTCTGTTTCAACCATCATAGTCATCCTACTTTATGTTAAGGTGTGTTTACTCACACATTAGTCCAGTTAGATTGAATCCACAGGCCAAGCAATCATCAGGGTTTAAAAGTCCAGCAAATGTGGTAGTTCTACATCAGAATTATTTATGAGAAGAGAAGTTTCTGCCTCACTCAGTCAAGTGGGCTAAATAAACTAGGGATAGGAGAAGGGCTTGAGATGAGCAACATTATATTTTACTTTTTAAAATATCCTTTTTGAGATGATTGTTATCTTCCATTGCATAGATGTTCTCAAGTTGTTGAATTTTACCTCCTTCCCACTCCCTTGCCTTTTTGATACATGCCAGTAGGTCATGAGACTAGAATTTCTATTTAAAATTTCAAATATGGGGTGCCTGGGTGGCTCAGTCGGTTAAGTGTCTGCTTTCGGCTCAGGTCATGATCCCAGGGTCCTGGGATCGAGCCCCATGTAGGGCTCCCTGCCCGGCGGGAAGCCTACTTCTCCCTTTCCCTCTGCTGCTCCCCCTGCTTGTGCTGTCTCTCTCTGTGTCAAATAAATAAATATTTAAAAAAAATAAATAAAATTTCAAATACACCAGAAATAATATCTATATTCCATGGAACTCTTAACACATTTTTGTTTTCTTGTGTGTATATGGGAAACTTTTGTGAAAAATGAATGATAAGATAATAATATGTTTTATGCCAGAGCCCAAATTGTATTTGGCACTTAAAAATCATTTTAGAACTGCAGATATATCTGGGATGTACTAGTAAGGCATGAGATTCAAGACAGGACCAGGATATTATTCATTCCCCCCACCCCCCTCAGGGCAGTAGTAGTTATTTATTATTAACTATATAGCTACTATTGGTTTACCCCTAAGTACTTCTTAGATAAAAATGCTAAAAAAATAAAACCTACAGTATTTTGTTGAGGCATCTCTAAGTGTGCCTTAACACTAGATTGTTGATAAACTCTAACTATTGGTAAAAAGTATCATTCAAATAACGAAGATACTTGCTATTCATCCAATTTCATTTATCTTAATATTAGTTTTTTTTACAAGTTTAAGCTAAAACTATATAGACATGCTTATAATTTAATAATAATGCAACCATAAGATCTAATAAACACTGTAGTAGGAATTAATTAATCGATTGATAGTTTCTTTCTTGAATTTCAGGTCTTGACCCTGCTGGGCCAAAATTCTCTGGAAAATCATTTAATGACAGATTAGACTACACTGATGCCAAGTTTGTGGATGTCATCCATTCCGATACCAATGGTAACAATGTAGGATTTATTGCTTAATTATCTGAAAATGAAAAGATGTAGACATTGGGGAAGAGGAGAACATGAAAGGAGAAGGAGTAGTGGGTAAAGTGGCGATGAGTCTGTAATCATAAAACGATTCTATTTCCCACAAGCGATATTTCTTAGAGTTCGTGATGTCCTGTGGTGTCAAATGGCCAGGTTTTGCCATCGGCTTACCTCCTTCAGGTTTCAAGGGCTGTCATATTATCCTAAAAAATGGAAACTTGATAAAAAAATACTTCATCTTGTTCAAGCTATTGACAATTTTGATTGATCACAGTTTCTCCCATGCATCCTTTTCCTGCTGTATTTAGATTACCATTCCCTCCATTTTCTCACTGTGATGTGTATCAACTCGAACTGAACACAGCATTTCAGGCACAGATAGAGAATACCCTCCCCTGGAGGTAGGGACATAATTTCTCTATGGTTTTTAATTGTCTTCCTGAAAATGTCTAATGGGCTATTGGTAGTTTAGGCCAGAGTGCTTTGGACAGACACTCTCAAGGAAGAATTTAGATGACCCTGAGCCCCTTCCTCATTTGAAATTAATGATCCTACGATTTATTGAGCACTTCCTATACCTTGGGCAGTGTTTTAGATGCTTTCTGTGAATGAATTATGGCATTCTTCTAAGTCCCCATGAGATAAATAAAATAAATATTATCCCCCTTTTACTGATGGGGAAGCTAGGGTCATGGTCACAAGTGGCAGAGCCAGAATTTGAAGTCTTATGATTCCAGAGTCTGTGCGTCACCAGTTTGTTGCTCTGACCAGCTGATAATTTCCATGTGCTCTGGTTGTGGGCATGGGGAGGATATGGCGCTACCATGGAGAAAGGAGGAAGTGATGCTCAGGCTGTTTTGATTTCCCTATTTCCTCAGGTTTCTTTTCTCTTTGGTCCAGGTAATTTATTTGCTCCCATAGTCCTCTGAATTGTCCTTGTGGAGATTCATACCGATGCCTTTGTGAGAGATACAAATGCCATAAATGCCACAGAGGACAATTTTTCAGCTTCTATGGCTACATGCCAGGGGGCTGAGCCTCTATGGGTATCGTTCTGCTCCTTCTTTGGAATCTAAGTTACCTTATGTATCACAGGGAGTTAGTGCCCAGAGGTTCATAGTTCGAATATGATACCTCAACCTCTCAAGCCTTCCTTGTCTTTATCCCTTTATATTAACTTAGCTTTCCCCCCACACAGTGCACCTACTGCCCAATTGCTCTGCAGTTCTTTGTCTGAAATCCCAACTCCAGTTTTGCCTATGGCCTTTGAATTAGCTCTTCATACTTTTTATTATTTTTGTTTGCATTTCTGGCTTTTCCTAATAAAAAACTGTTTCTATTATCTTCCACTGTCAACATCTTTTGATGACCTGGCCTATCAAATCTAACTTACCACTAGATGCCACATTGTTGACACCTTTGATTGATCTTTTCACAACCATTGCAAATGAGGGACACAGAATTTTGATGCTGCATATCCACCTGTCTCAAGGAATTTCTGAATGAGATACTTGGGGTCAACACATATATGGCAGACTACCTTTTCCTTGAATACTTATCAGTGAGTGCATCTTCTACTTACCAGGAGTTTTTGACCATATTTGGTTGTATATGTTAAAAAAGTTATGTGGCCTTCTAAAATTGTGAATTGGATAATTTGGACTAATATCCTTGCTGGGATATCAGTAAAAAATTACAGTCCAACATCCAGAAGATAGAAAAATTCCAGGGAAGTAAACTGGTAAGTTTGGAGTCACTTTTCTTACGGCAGGTTTCCTGATACATAGAGTATGGGAAGTATTTTTGAAACCCTTACACGGGGCTTGTAAAATATCTCATTTTTACCTTCTTTCCATGTAGTGAAGGAATATAGAGTGCTTGGACTTTATATATCACCCTCCAATTTAATATATTCTTGGGGAGAAAAAATAGAACAAAGAGAGAAGGCACAATGAATTTCAGTAATTTACAACAGGCCCCTGGTAGGGGCGCCTGGGTGGCTCAGTCATTAAGCATCTGCCTTCGGCTCAGGTCATGATCCCAGGGTCCTGGAATCGAGCCCCGCAGGGCTCCCTGCTCAGCGGGGGGCCTGCTTTTCCCTCTCCCACTGCCCTTTTCCTACTGGTGCGCGCACAGCACTCTCTCTCTCTCTCTCAAATAAATAAATAAAATCTTAAAAAAAATAAAATAAAGGGACACCTGGGTGGCTCAGTCGGTTAAGTGTCTGTCTTTGGCTTGGATCAGGATCCCAGGATCCTGGGATCGAGTCCCACATCGGGCTCCTTGCTCAGTGGGGACCTTGCTTCTCCCTCTGTCTGCCACTCCCCCTGCTTGTGCTTTCTCTCTCTCTGACAAATAAATAAATAAAATCTTTAAAATATATATATATTAAAAAAATAAAATAGAAAAAGAGATAGTTTTACAGGTACTACAGATATGAAATTGATCATATTATGATATAATGAACAATATTATGCAAATAAATATGAAAATGTATGATTATATGGTATGATATATAAAATAGAAAAATTTTTATGAAAAAGCAAAAGCATTTACCAAACTGACAAATTAAGAAAGAAAATTTGAATAGTTCTATAATTATTAATGAGATAGAAACTGTAATTTAAAGACTTCCAACAAAGTAAATCCTAGGCAAATTTTTTCATCTCTACTAAACAATTAAGGGAAAAGTAAGACCACTTTCACACAAACGGTTTCAGAGAATAATAAAATGTAGGCAACTGTTTATAACCTTTTTTAAAAGCTGTCATAAAAATGTCAAAACTTGAGATGATAGACATTACAGAAAAGAAAATTTGTGGACATTCTCTATTATAATCATGGGTGCAAAATTTCTACGTAAACATCACATTAGTAAATCAATTCTGCAACATATAAAAATGGATAATGAATCACACCCAATTTGGATTATTATAAAAAAGCAAGTTTATAATAAAAGCATACACAAAAGCATACATGAAATATGAGTCAATTTATATGTAGTTCCAAAATGGGCAAATCTAAACTGTTATGTTTTGGGAGGCATCCTTGGAAGGTAAAGAATAGCAAAAAAATTATTTTATTAAAAGATGTTATTGGACACCTGGGTGGCTCAGTCGTTAAGCGTCTGCCTTCGGCTCAGGTCATGATCCCAGGAGCCTGGGATCAAGTCCCGAATAGGGCTCCCTGCTCAGCTGGGGACCTGCTTTTCCCTCCCCCTCTGCCTGCTGCTCTGCCTACTTATGCTCTCTATCTCTCTGTCAAATAAATAAATAAAATCTTTTTTTAAAAAAAGATGTTATTATTTTTAAAGGAAAAGGAGAAGCTGGTAATTAGGTAAGAGGGGTTTCTAGGTGCTATTTCTTGACATGGGTGTGATAGCTAAGTGGCTATTTGCTTTATAATAATTAATATTTAGATTTACGCTCTTGTTTGTGTGTATGTATATTAAATTACAATAAAAAGAAAATTTAAAAAGCCCTATCTACTCTCCTTACCCTCCTTGAAACCAAGGGAATGAATGACCTAAACAGACCAAACTTCTCTGCCCCTTCCATCTGGTAAAGGGGAAAAGACATGCCTGAATGAATCAAGGCCTGCTTCTAAGTTAATATAAATGTCTTTTGCTTCTCCCTGAGTCCTGAGGAGTCTTCTTGGCTTATTTCTACTTTAGTGGCAGATTGGAGAAAATGATGGCTCCAACCTGGCACCCCTAGTCTTGGAACTCCATGTTGAATTCAGACATAGGGAAATTGTAAAGATTGCCAAAATTTAAAAAAATTATTGGACTTTTTTTTTTTGGTCATACTTAGGAGAATGCAAGCAGATGATGGAATGTAAAGAGGGATTGGCTAGCATAACCTCACCACTGTCACAATCTAATCACTCTCGTGCTTCCCTGAATTCTTAGGAGTTCTAATGAAGTTGTCTGAATTGTTTTTTGCCTTTCCTTACACGCTGACTCCCCTCCCCCATAATGCACATGCCCAGTGTCCTCATGCTCTGCTAACACCTCATTAGCAGTTATCTTGTTCTGTTCTGTACTTTCACTAAATCCTGTCACTCCATCTTAATCCTACTGTCAGACCCAAGTATTTATCTTTGTTATGTAAATCTATTGCTGATCACTTTCAAGAGTTTATCATGTTGTAGGAAATTTCTTGTGCCCTAAGCCAAAGCATTGTGACTTCACTTGGCAGCAAGATTTTCAGATCTAACCACATTCCTGATTTTTCTGAGCTTGCTACCCTCTTTCGTTCCCATGCCTTCCCTGGGTTATAGCCCCCATATTGGTAATAATGGACCCAGCATTTGCACCTTCCCCAGTGCCCCGAGGATCCACAGATATACAGAAGCCCTTAAATCACAGCTACACATTTATGTCACTCTGACCCATTTGTTCCAGCTGAAGCAGCATATTTAGATTTTTCCAGTTAGTGAATCTAGTACCAAGTCTTAGGCCTTATCCAGAGTATAAGCAAATCATCAAACTGGCCCAAAAGGTCCTATATGACTTGGCTTCATTTCCTCTGGTGCTCCCTCTTACCCATTATATTCCTGCTAACCTGGCTTCTTTGAATACTTTAGGTATGCTCACATAATTTTCTACTTGCCTGTCTCACTCATCTCACTCACATCCTTCACGTCATTGCTTGACTCTACCACCTCAATGGATAATTCCCTAACCAAACTACTTAAAAGTACAACCAACCTACCACGCTGACTAAGCACTTACCGCCCTCTTATGCTACTTGTGTTTTCTCTACAGCATTATTATTATCTGACATACTATATTTTTACTTGTTTATTATGTCTTCCTCCACTCAGATGTAATTTCCACTACAAAAAGGTGTTTTGGTCTGTTTTTCTTTCTTACTTATATATTTGTAGCACAAAGAACTGTGATGGGCCCGTAGTAAATTGGTGACTAGTAAACATGTTAAATTAATGACATATAATTTTCATGAGGAATTAATTTGAGGCATTATACCAGAAAAATGTATCTTTTTAAAAAAGGCATTTCTTTTATTTTCAATTCAAATTTTAAGAGTCACTTTCAATAGAATTTATAGATTTTATTTTGTAAAAGTGTTGACCTGATTATATTCACTTTGTGATTTTTGAGTGTTTTTCTTCTTAGGTTTAGGCATTAAAGAACCCTTGGGGCATATAGATTTTTATCCAAATGGAGGAAAAACGCAACCTGGCTGTCCTAAATCCATTCTTTCAGGTATACCAATAGTAATTTTGAATGAATTACATATGATTCAAATGATGAAGGAAAATCAAATTTACTTTACTTTTTTCCTTCTTAATCTGTGGGTAAGATTTTGATCACCCTTGCTCATTATTCCGGAGAGTGATTGGCAAAAAATGGTTGAATTGGATTTTTCTCAGTTCATAGAGTTTACCAGTCGATATCCCCATTTGGTCATGGTGGGATCCATTACATTAGTTTCAATAGCTTTATTTCATCATTTTAAACATTAGGAGAAGTGCTAAGTCAGTGAAGAAGCACAGATGGCCAAAGTATCATGTAACATGAGTTTGGGCTCGGGATTTAATCTTTACCATCACTCTAATATTGTACAAGCACAGATTCATAATCTCTTGCACTTGGTTATTACATAAATAGCCGAGCAGCTGCTCCAGGTGTGGAATTTGGCTCACTTCAGAGTCAGAAGAATTCAATGTTTTGAGGTCTACAGTGACAACTGGTCAAGTAACACACAGTGAAAGGCCACTACAGCTAGAGAAGTTTGGTCAATGATTATAAGGATGTGAGGAGTTGGGGAAAGAAAGGGACATGATAAAGCTTTAATGTTACCTGGTTTCATAGTCCTCTCTGACATTAAGCAGAAATGTTAGGGGTGCGGGATTAGGAGGGAAAGATGTGCACATAGTTATTAAGTATGGTAGCACCGTGTTTGTAGAGTTTGTCAAATTATTGAAATTAAACATTTTTTCCCCTGTGGTAATTATTACTTCAGAAAAAATTCTTATAAATCTCATGTAAAAGCATACTAAATTTAAATTTTCAATGGTACTACTTATTTAATTGCTCGAGATAAAACTTTGCATTGTAGTCAACACTTTAATATTCACAAGGGCATAGTATTGAGTAGAACTTAACCTTTAATTTTTCTCTAATTTACTTGAACTTGGTTTAATACATCTACAGTTCTTTTGCTTGATTTTTAACACTTAAGGAATTCAGTTTATTAAATGCGACCACCAGAGAGCGGTTTACTTGTTCATGGCCTCTTTGGAAACAAACTGCAATTTTATTTCATTTCCTTGTCCTTCATATGAAGATTTCAAAGCTGGTTCATGTGTAGACTGTGACAACTTCAACGAAAAATCATGTCCTAGGCTAGGTAAGTGAGACTGTTGTAATTACTCTAATTTTTTGTGGAAAATGAATAACATAATTGTTAGTATTTTTGCTGGAAGCTTTCATATTTACTTGGGAACATGTTAAGCATTTTATGGAAAAATTACCTGTGGAACAACCAGAGGAAATAGTTTATTTCCTACTAAATATTTTTAAGGTGTTTAGTGAAAAGAATTTAATCAACTGCTCAATGGATTTTAACCAACTGTGCTCAATGTATGTGCAAATTTGGTGGTCTCATGATGACCCTTGCTCTTGTTTTGTAAAGGAGGCTCACTATCTATCATCCATCTGTATTTCCACTAAAGAAAGAGACCGTGCATTCTTTTTTTTTTTTTTTGAGACTTGTGCATTCTTAGTGGCACTGAAGGTTTTTATTTTTATGGAAAGTCTTAGGAGCAAGTGGAGAGGTGTAAACCATAGTTAGCTTTTCATTTGCTATTAGCAAGTAGGCATGAATCATACATGGTTCACACCTTCCAAATCGATAAAGCTTGGCAAGAGCAGTTAAGTATTGCAACTTTCGATAACAACAGCCTGTCTGTAGGAAATTATAGAGGAAAAAAGAATCCACATAAAAATAGAACGGTAGAGCTGAAAGAATCTCAGAGGCTGTTTTTTGCTCAGGATTTTCCAAAGAGATCACCAGATCCCAAGCATGTCATGAGCATATAACATCTTATCAGTGTCATGATCAGGATCTGCTAGAAATGTTTCCAAGGCCAAAGGGGCTTGGGAAGCGATTACAACAACTGAAGTAAACCGCTTTCTGTAGTTTTCTTCGGCAGGAGATTTATACTAACATGCGTAGAGAATTTCTGGGGGAGGCAGGCAATCTGCCGGCTTGGCCAGACCTATTTTCTCATAGACCCCTTCTGTCCAGAAGACGTCTTGTGGGATTCTTTTTCTCCAGACCTCATGTTGGGGATTGCTTTTCTGGTCTCATTGCTTTTCCATATAAATGAGAAAATTGTGACCCAGTGGGAACAGAAGGATTATGTAAGGACACAAGTGAGAACTAGAGTTAAACTTCTTAATTCTCAATTCAGTGTTCTTTCTATACATTCAAATTTCAAATTTGGAGGTAGCAGTGTGGGAATAGACAAATACATAAAGTAGGAAGCATTTTAAATATATGCATGTGTGTGTGATGATATTTCAAATGTACTAATAATGTATGTATCTGGAATATATATAGTATATATGTAATATATACTATATATAGATGCTATCTATATGACACATTTATAATGTATACACATGTATAGTATATCTGTATGAATGTGTATATGTAGGAGAATTGGGAGCTGTACTAATGGAACTAAATTTTGTGTTTGTTTTATCTAATCATTTTATTCTGCTGAATTTACTAAAAGGAGATACAAGTAAAATTCTGAATTTATGAAATAATAATAAAAACTGCTACAAATGGATTGTAGATGCTCAGCTCTGGTAAGATCTCCGGGGGGGGGGGATTTGTTTGTGAATCTTGGATTTGATTTATTATGTAATTAAAATGAATAGAATATAAAATTATTGGAAAAGTGGTTTTTTTTTTTTTTAAAGATTTTATTTATTTATTTGACAGAGAGAGACACAGCGAGAGAGGGAACACAAGCAGGGGGAGTGGGAGAGGGAGAAGCAGGCCTCCCGCTGAGCAGGGAGCCCGATGCGGGGCTCCATCCCAGGACTCTGGGATCGTGACCTGAGCGGAAGGCAGACGCTTAACGACTGAGCCACCCAGGCGCCCCATGGAAAAGTGGTTTTTAAGTTATAAAAATCATAAATTATTATTACGATTATTATTATAATGCATTGATTCTTCAGTTCCTTTAGTGATTTGACAGCTTTGTGTGCTATTTGATGGAAATCTGGTTTCTAATGTTTTCTTTTTTTTTTTTTTTTTAAGATTTTATTCACTTACTTGACTCAGAGAGAGAGAGGCAGAGAGTACAAGCAGGGAGAGGAGCAGAGCCAGAGGGAGAAGCAGGCTCTCCACTGAGCAGGGAGCTCGATGTAGGGCTCCATGCGGGGCTCGATCCCAGGACTCTGGGATCATGACCCTAGCCGAAGGCAGACGCTTAACGACTGAGCCGCCCAGGCATTCCTTGTTTCTAATGTTTTCTTTCTCAAATCTTAGGTTATCAAGCTGAGCTATGGGAAGATGTTTTAAAAGAAAAGAGAGAAGAGACCACTGTGTTTTTGGATACTACTGGCGCAAGTCCATTCTGTGGTAAGTTAACATTTTCAACAAATGAAAAATGATTGGTTTTACATGCTAATTTATCTTTTCTCCAAAATGTTCTTCATACCCAGTCCAATTCCATCATGTAATTTCAAGGAACTCTGAAATTTGTTAGAGCCAAATTCAAATAAGGACTTGATTTTTTAGTTTAATTGTTCATCTCTTGAAGGACATCAGGGATATTTTTAGTTTTTGGCTATTATGAATAAAGCTGCTATGAATATTTATATACAAGTTTTTATGTGATTTTAAGTTTGTATTTCTTCTTTATAAAGGCCTAGGAAAGCACTTGCTGGGTCGGAAGCTAATTAGTCTTATAAGAAATTGACAAAGTGCTTTTCAGTGTGCCATACCATTTTGCAATTCCCCCAGCAAAGTATGAGTGATCCAATTTCTCTGATTCCTTACTAGCAATTGCTGTTGTCATCATTTAAAAAAAATTATTCATTCTAACAGGTGGATAGTGATACCTTATTGTGGTTTTAATCTTTGTTGCCCTGATGACTTATGATAATGAATATCTTTTCTGTATATCCTCTTTGGTGAAGTGTGTGTTCATGTCTTTTGCCCATGTTCCAACTGCATTTTTTTGAAGTGTTGGGTTTTGAGAGTTTTCTTCATATATTTTTATAGTAGTCCTTGTTGAATACTTGGTTTGCAAATATTTTCTCCCAGTCTATAATCTGACTATCTTTTCATCTTCTTTACAAGGACTTTTGCAAGGGCAAAAAAGGGCACTTTTGATGAGATCTAATTTATTATTTTTCTTTTCATAGAACATTTTTTTTTCATTTCTGAGAACTCTTTGCTGAGTTTAGGTCCTGAAGATTTTTTCCCACATAAGATCTTTATAGTTTTATGTGTTACCTTTAAGTCTGTAATTCATTATTGATTTAGTTTTTGTATAATATGTGGGGTTTAGGTTGAGGTATATATATATATTTTTCTTGCCTATGGATGTCCATTTGCTTGAGCACGATTTGTTGAAAGGGCTATCTTTGCTTTATTGAAATGCTTTTGTACCTTTATCAAAAATCAGTTAAGCATATTTGTTTAGGCATATTTCTGTTTTGTCTAGATTCCATTCTCTATCCTGTTATTTATCTGCTTATCCCTTTTCCAATACCACACATTATTAATTACTATAGCTAATACTATAGCCTTAATATCAGGTAGAATGAGTATTTCTTCTTCATTCTTCTTTGTCATGATTATTTTAGATATTCTAGGGTATTTGCCTTTCAATAAAAATTTAAAATAAGGTTGTCTATGTCTGCAAAACTTTGGCTGGGATTTTGATAGGAATTGAATTAAACCTATAGATAGACTTGGGGAGAACTGACATCTTTACTATGTTGTCTTCTGATTCATAGACATGTTATGTCTCTACATTTACTTTGATTCTTTGATTTCTTTCATCAGTATTTTGTAATTTTCAGCATATAGGCCCTGTGTATCTTTTGTTACATGTATACCTAAATAATTATTTAAAAAAATTTTTTTTGAGTGATGGTAAATGATATTTTAAAAATTTTATATCCCCATGTCTGTGTTAGAAGGTAGAAATAGGATTGAATATTTTGTATTGAGCTTGTTTCCTGGAGCCTCACTGAATTCACTTATTATTTCTTGGATTTTTAAAATAGATTTCTTAGAGTTTTCTATGTAACAATCATATCATCTACAAATAGAGAGAAACTTTTACTTCTTCCTTTCTAATCTGTATGCCTCTTATTTCTTTTTCTTGACTTATTTCAGTGGCTAGAGCTTCCAGTACTATGTTAAATAAGGATGGTGGGAACAGACATCTTGTCTTACTCCCGATCTTAGAAGAAAGCATTGTTTGTTACCTGTAGGTTTTTTGACCATGGGTTATTTACAAGCATGTTGTTTACTTCCATGTATTTAGAGATTTTCCTGTTGTCCTTCTATTATTGATTTCTATTGTTGATTATATTATTTAGAGTCATTATATTTAGAAAACAAATTCTATATAATTTCAATTCTTTTGGGGCGCCTGGGTGGCTCAGATGGTTGAGCATCTGTCTTCAGCTCAGGTCATGACCCCAGGGGCCTGGGATCGAGCCCCGTGTCCAGCTCCCTGCTCGGTGCAGAGACTGCTTCTCTCTCTCCCTCTGCCATTCCCTCCGCTTGTGCTGTCTGGCTCTATCTCTCTGTCAAATAAATAAATAAAATCTTTAAAAAAAATTTCAATTCTTTTAAATTTGTTGAATTTTTTTTT